AAATTATTAATTAAATTAAGAATAAATTAATGAAAGAATTAAAGTATTTTTTATAAGCATAGAAATTACTATTAAGAATTCTGATATTTAGAGAGGCATTAATTAATGGAAGACTTAAGCTTTTCTAAAATTTACATATAACACATAAATTACTAAATCCATTATATACTATATTGACTAGCCAGATTTAAACAGCATAATAGTTTTATTCTTGTTTTATCAAATCTTTCTATTTTAAACAATGAAGCAGTTATGGCCTAGTTTTGTAAATTATAGGTCAAATTTAACTAAATAGGATAACTTTACAAGTGAATTCTAATTTTACAATCTTTAAAATCACCAGCTTCATAAATATTAGAAAATGAGTTATAAAAAAAATTTAAGTTTTATTAATCATAACTATACATCTATAATAGTTACCAGAACTTTTACCAAGATATCTTATGATATGATTATATTTGATTGCCTCATTTTCATTAAATGTTTAAATCTCATAGAATTCATAATCTCTAATATCTTAGTTTTAAGTTTGCCTTGCTTATCTAAATAGTTATTAGTTATGAGCATTTAAATACACTTATGAACTTTCTTTAATATTAGAGGAAAATGAAAATTTATTATAAATATTTTATGATTTAAGAAGAAACTAAAATTAACTTAACTAAATTAAGAATTGTCATTTAGTATGCCTCTCAGACATACTTTACTTTAATGACAATGCTAAATTAATGTGCAATTTTTATCCTTTTAAAAATCAAGAGTATCCAAAATTTTATAATTGATTACTAATATGGGTTTTAATATTTATTATTAATTTTAACAAATTTGATTAATTAATTGTATTATTTCAAAATATCTAAAACTAAATTTCTAACTAATTTGTAAATATTGCTAATACAAATATGGAGTAGGATTCAAGTGATTTTATGAAGAGCATGAAAATGAACGAATTATAGGATTTTGTATGTATAAGAATTGCTCAAAACCATTTTAATTCTGCTTATGATGTTTTCAAAAAGTTCATTAATATCTTCGCGATGGCTGCATACGATGTTAATAATTGTAAAATTTGATTGACCAATTAATTCAAACTTAAAATGATCAATTTACCATTTATCAAGATAATAGGCATTATTTTATGCAAGCATTTAATACTATCTCCAAAAAGTTTGAATCAGATATTTTAATATTAGGAGAAATGGATCAAAAGTTGAAAGACAGTCATACAATTCTTTCCTATAATAAATACTATATATTAAGAACCTCTATGCAAATGAGAAAGAAAAGAAAGAAGGCAACTTCCCCATTAAATATCAGGGATTATTTCTAATTGAACTGGAAAAATAATGAAAGCTTTTAAAGAATAAGAAAAATTCATATAATGAATTGAAATAAAAAATTCTTGGAATAATTTAATTATTAAAATACAATAGGTTATCGTCCCTTTATTCCTTTCTTGATTAATTTAGTAATTGTAGATGATAATATATTAAAAATAATAAATTTAACCTTTTATGAAAGAAATTACGATTTTATAAAAGCAAGATTGTTCGATGTAAATTACATCTAACTAATAATAGATAAATGAACTAATTCTAGCTGCATCATACATTTTTCGAAAAGTAATTAGTGGAATAAAATAAAAAGGGAAAATATATTTGATAAATGCTATTGATAATTCATACAAATACGATTGCAAATTGTATAACTTAAAGGGTAAAATAAGTAATATGAACTGTAGGCATAGAGCTAATATTATTAAATTTTATTTTAGAAGGGAATTTGAATCGTTATAACAATTCTATAGAATGTTATGATTAAGCCATTAAAATCAATCCATATTATAATACAGCATTTTATAATAAGGGTAATTAAATACTATAATTAGGTAATGCTTTATATAAGATATATCAGGATGGTTTAACATATTCAATTTGAATTGTTATTTAATAGTATGGGCAAAAAATTGATGTAAATTCAAATGATAGTGAATCATTTTATATTACGGTATATGAATTAAAAAGTAAACTATCAATAAGAATAGCATTATATAACTTGAATTGCTATTAAGATGCAATATAATGCAATGATCAAGCAATTAAAATCGATCCAAAATATCGTGACGCCTTTTATAATAAGGATATATTAATTCTTCAATTTTACATTTTACTTAGGTAATACCTTATTCTAGTTGTCTCGTTAAGAAGAAGCTATAGACGGCTACGATCAGACGATTAAAATGTTAGCTACTCAATTTCTCATAAAGGTAAATTGGCTCATTTTATTAAAATGTAAATAAGGCAACACACCTGTAAATGCTTTAGACATGAAGAATAAAGGTATCAATTATTTGCTACTTTAGCTGAGACACTAATGATACTATAAATCACTTTATTTTTATTTTATTTAAAGAAAAGGAAGAATCTAAGAAATGGTATTTGTATGCATGAAATGCAGATTATAATGAAGATAAAATAAGTTAAATATTCAAAAAAATGGAATTTAATTAATTAATTTAAAATATTTTCATAAATTACCATAGTTTCCAAAGAAACGAATATATACTTTTTTCAGAATTACATATAATAGATGATGGTACATAATTCTATTTATTATTTCATTTCTAAACAATTTTTTCAATTATAACTGTGAAATGATCTAACTATTATATTAGATTTCATAGATTTAAAATAAAAGATTTTTAATGATGATTAATTGACACTTATAGTAGCTCTTATTTTGATTACTAGGATTATAGACTTTACCTTTTATCAACTGGCTTTCATTATTTTATAACAAATCATTGATCAAAAGTCTCTTTTGTTTTTTTATTTAGTATCTTATAATTATCATTTATGCTTATCTTCATTTAAAGAAATGAGAAAGATATAATTTTATCAATACTAATATTCAGTATATATTAAATTTTAATGAAATTGTTAGAAGTCAATTCAATTACTTAATTTCCAAACACCAATTACAGAAGGAGAATCCATTTAAATTTTGGCAAATGAAATATTGGAAACACATGAAATAGATTCAATAAAATTTATTTCCTTTGAAAGCTAGTTACCTCGATTCAAAATTGAGATCCTTTGATCCCATTTTCATATTATTCTTGTAATACTAATTATAATCATTCAAATTTTGTTAATATTTTTATTATTTTACTTATTCTTCTTTAACCAATTCCTTAAACTGTGAATGTCTTAGAGTTTTTTCTTTTTGCTCAAAATTATTATTGTTTCTGGTTTTTTAGAAATGGCAGATAAATAGTTGTCAAAAGTAGTAGGTATTTCAATTGTTCATTTTATAAGGATTTGTGAACTTTTCTGAGCATTTTTCCTTAATTTGTGTTTTTTAATTTATGCTTAGATGGTTGTGAATCAATGCCTATTGAAAGTAGCAGTTTATTCTTTAAAAATCTAATAGATAATTTGGGATGAAGTTTCCATATTAATAAAACTGATCACCATTCATATGCATATGAATTTTATAAAAAGAACCTAAAGTATATAGTATTTTTGTACTTTATGAGTCTTAAGGAATATGAGCAAAAGGAAATATTTTAAAGATGTTGAGTTGAAAATAAAAAATAATTATTGTCTTTTAAGGATTCGTCATTAAGTTTAATTTAGTTAATCATAAATAGTGTTAAAAAGACAATAATTTTAGGAATACATATTGATATTAATTAAATACAACTTATATTGATATACTGTATTACAATCGTTCCCAATTACTTTTCAACATTTTCAAATAAGCCATCTAATCAAAAGCAAACGAATTTGTCATCATTCAAAACATTTTCTAATTGCTCATTATTTTTATATTCTAATTTTTTTAATTGAATTGACTTTCATTTTATTTTATTCTTCCTATATTTTGTTTTGTTTAATTGATTTATAAATTGCTATTAAGTTTTAAGCAAATTAATGAGATTATTTTAATTTTGATTTATTTACACGCTTGCACTTGTAGACTATGGAACTTATTATAGGATTATTTTTTTTATTTAATTTGAAATTTTGTTTGCAAAGAATTCTTTGAATTACAGATCATAGATTAAATAAAGTAATTATTTGAATTTATTATAAAATTATGAATTTATTTAGATATCTTTTTAATACATTCAATAAATTTTATTTTCAATATTAATTAAGTTGTTATAGATATAATAGTAATGTTTTTTAAATAATATCAAACTGGAATATACATAAAGATCTTTGTAAAACATTCAAATTGTGGAATCAAATTTATATAAAATAGAAAAAAGAAGAAAAGTATTAAAAAGAGGTTTGTTTTTAATTTAAATGATTGTTCTAAATAAAAAATTTGCAAAATAAATAAATGTAATAAAGAAATTCTAGAAATTTTATATTTTTTTCTGAAGAGTTTATTCATTACAAATTATAAATCTTCTATGTTTTGATATAATATTTATAATAATCTCTCATACCAAAATGTCTATTATTACTTAATCCAGGTTTCTCCTATTTATGAAGGCTACATTGATTCTTGCAATTTCCCAAAAAAGCTATTTATGTTGAAGAAATCAGTAATGTCGATCATTATCTGTTATTATTTATCAAGACCACAAAAATCAAATCTATTTTCATTCTCTATGAAAATGGCATTCTTGCGAACTGCGCCAATGCCTAAGTAGGATATGAATCTTCACATTCGGTATAAAAAAAATCCTATATGCCTAGATTGATTTAAATATTTTACCTGTTATGTTAATGAAAGTTACTTACAGCCTGATTTTTTTCATAAGCTACTTAGAAGGCACTTTAAAAGCTAGTACTTGCTCCATTACATACTACTACATTGTTTATAGTTTGCATGCCTATATGTTAAAAGTCTACCACACATCTAGCTTTATAGTTGAAGATTATGATGGCAACTCGATATTCTAATTCTATTATGCTGATGTTAAAAATGAAATTATTTCATTTATGCTCGATTAAATCTATCTTCTGACATACATCCAAAATAATCTAATAAAACAACATAATGATAGTTTTCCGAAAAAATCACTTTGTTTTTCATTAAAAGTAAATCTTCTTCCATCCCTTCCAAATTTATTATTTTAATAATTTGATCAATATTATTCCATATTACTGATCTACAAGAATACAGCCATGCTTCTTATTAAATGCTCATTTCTTCATTAATGATTATGAACAATTTTATTTACATCTATATCATCTCCTAGTTCGACATATATCTTATTTTTTAAATTTACTATTCAATAAAATTATTTGAAACCTGTAAATGTCAAAGTTAAATATTTTAACTTTTACTTCAAGTGATGAATCCTGAAACAAAATTTGACAAAATGTATATTCTATGATCATTTGCTTGCTTATAACAATTATTCATCTATTTTACAATGATCATTTGAATTAAAAAAATGTCCTTGAATTTATCCTATATATTATCTAAATCTTCATTACTTAAACTTCCTATCAAATATTTTATTTCTATTTGATGTGAAATCTTTGGAGCATCTTAAAGATTTTTTATTTAGATGAAGAACTGGATAGCTTTTGAATTTTTCAATAGTTTTATCTTGTGTGATTGAAAATTTTGAAAGAATCAAATTTAAATTATTATCTATATTCTCTGTTAGTTTCTGACTATATTACTCTATAAATTATTATCGAATATTTCAGTTCTTTAATTAACTTCATCCTCAATAAACCTAACAGGATTATCAATTTACTCCTGAGTTTAGATATAAGAATTATATTTTTCTTTTTCATTAAATGATTTGGTATCAAAATCATTAATTAAATAATAACATTTAATTTTAGGATCATCTACTAATAGATTTATATTTTGTATGGGCATCTATTGTACATTAAAAATATACCAAATATGAAGATATATCTGATTTTTCCTGAGAAATATTTCAGACTTTGAAAATCAACCATGGATTTCTAAATTAAATGCAGGAGGATATGGATTATCAAATTTTTGTAGATCTGAACAGCCCCAAGAACATTTGGAAATAACTCTTACAAATGAAAATAATCAAAAATAATTTGAAAAGAAGAATCTATTACAGCAAACATTTTTTTTTAGAAGAATTTAAGTCCTCTGTTTCTGTTATTCAAGAAGGATTAGCAATTTAATTAGTTAGTCTGAAGAAAACAAATTAATAATAAAAATCGAATGGCTTAATTATAACAAATAATTTTCAATAAATTGTGCCTTGAATAAGAAAACTATGAAATAATTAAAACAGATATTATTAATAATTTTTGAAATCTCTTAGAAACACTACTTCATTATTTAGAAGTTTCTTGAATTAAATTGCTTAAGTTTGCAATGACATATCGAGAATTATTTATTCACACAATTCAACATTAAGATTTGACTCTAAATCTTTTTTAAAACAAGTTTCTGTCTTCTATGAACAATTAAAAAGTTAATCAAATGATGCTTTAAGAAAAAAAATTATTGATTGATGGAGCTAATAATACTTTAAAAATCAATTCTTTAAAAGGATATAGCTAATGTTTAATGTCTAGTCTTAAGAAAACTGCTAAATATATAATAAAAAATCAAATCTTGAATTTTGTATCCAATTAAAGTATATCAAATTTATCACTTATTTTAAATTAAAAAACTTTCTTTAACAAATATACAAAAGAATCAAATAATTGGATTTTGCATTTTTGTTGGATTTAGACTGCAACCGATATTATTTTATATAGATTGATAATTGAGACTATAAGAAGGTTAAAAAATGTTACTACTATTTAATAATTACCATTCAATTTTATTAATTTGATACAATACTTAATATTTTTGAAGATTCAATTTTAAAGAAATACAGTTAGTATTAGCTTCTATTTTCAACTAGGCGGAACAATAATTTCAAAATAATAAACTTATGGGATTCTTATCCTAACTTTCATTCTTTAGAAGTGAATAAGAAGATTCTTAAGAATTTAATTTCATAAGAGTGAACGTATATGAATTATTATTCAAATAATAAACAGCATTATCAATGAAATATAACTAAAATAAGTTGAAATAGTTGATTCATCATATCTATTGTGATTTTCCTTAAGTTTTTCTATTAGACAATATGTTTAAAAAAAAAGAGTAAAATAAAAGAATATTTAAATCTCACCAGGCTTCAGTAGAAAAAACATTATTATCTTAAAAAGTTTTTGAAGAACTTAAAAAAATATTAAAAAAATCTTTGAATATTTGGAAAAAAGCAAAATATCTTATTAATATTATTAATGATTGAAAATAAAAAATCCAATATTACAAAAAACAGATATAAAGGAATTTTTCATTTGTAACTGGAAGTTAGAAAATTTTTCATCTGTTTTAAATTCTTAATTTGAAGAAAAAATTTCAATTTATAAATGATAGTTTTGACACTTATTATAAAATAATCAAATCAAAAATTTAAGTCATTAAGATTGAACTTTAGAAAATATCAAATTTTCACTAGGGAAGATATAATATATTATTTTGAACTGTAAATAAATGCACAATTTTTCATGTAAGGATTAGTTATTGTGTGATTTTTATGTGTGTTTGATTATTTTCTTTAATTAGATGAATGAAATAATTAATATTTCATAAGATAAAACATAAAATCCAGGCTTAAGTAGAACAAACTACTGATATTTAAGATTAAGATTCAAATAAAGAATTATTAGAGACATTGAAAATTGTACACATAAAATTTTTTACTTTAATTTAATAATTAGAGCTATAATTTAGTTTCAAAATAGATATAGATGTAGAGTCAAAACTTAATGACTAAGAAATTTGAATTGATATTTACGAAAATATTATAGAGATTTAATAGATAATTAAAACTTTAAAAGCTCTTATTAATTTATTTGATCAAAAATAAATAACAAAACAATGCTAATATAATAAAGTACACAACCTTTATTAAGTATTTAGGTGAAATGTAAAGGTTTCATAATTTAAATAGAGAATATATCTAGTTCAATTAAAGGAATTTACATAAGTTCAAAATTTAAAATTATCGAAAAATAAGAAGATATTAATTTGGCATTGATACATACTAATTTTTTGGAAATACAAAAAAACTAAAATGAAAAAGAAATTTTTAGATGAATTCAATATGGCATTAATTTAAGAAATAATAAATTATTCTGATTACAAAAAGGATTAAGTTAGGAGTTTAATAGAAGCGAAGGGCTCTACAGTAAGAGAATATTTAGATTATGGTTTAACTAGTTTATAAAATAGCAATTCAAAAAAAAAATAATTAATTTTTCATCAAGAAGAATAAAATAAATTGGGTTTATGAGAAAGTCAACGAGTAAGAAACTTGTTGAAAAATAAAGAATTGATAGAAATGCAAAGATAGATTTATTCAAAATATTTTTAAACAATTTCTGATTGAATAAAAAAAGAAATTTAGTAGAAGATGCAAGACTTAGAAAACTTAAATAATAAATAAGATTACAAGTAAATTCATAAGAAAGAAAGAAACTTTAATTATTATTAAAATAATTTTACAAATAACTTGATGATTCAAATCAAAATATATCAGAAATGTCTGGTGCTATGAACATCTACCTTATGTTTCTTAAAGATATCTTAAAAGATGTTAAGTCTCAGAAACAATATCAAATCTACCCAAGTTCAAATTTTAAATTTAAATTCTTTGAAGCTTATAAAAGGAAGGAAATATATTTACAGACTATGCATCTGAAAATTGGAAAATGATGGTATGAAGTTCTAATTTCTATTTATATTGGAAATCACATATATTAGGAAATATTCTAATATTTTAGGATAGATTTGGAAGATATATTATAAAATGATCCCTATGATTTAGAACATGAAATCATTAAAAATATTATTATTATTTTTTTTTGTATCTTTATCATAAAAACGCGATTTATTAGTTTGTGGCAATAAATATAGGAAACAGCTGAAAGTTTAATAGCTTAATGGGATGTAATAATATTTAATTTAATTGGTTAAATGGGAGTTTAGACTCTGATATCTGTCAATAAATTGCCCTGACGGTACTAAATTTTTAGTAGGTTTAGAAAATTATCATTTAGAGTTATACTTAATAAGAAAACCATAAAAATATGATTAAGAAATACAGATATTATGTTATAAATCAATTATTTGTGTATTAAAACAGATAAATCAGAGATTCAAAAGTTTTAAATCTATTCTAGATTTATTTATTTGAAAGGAGTTATTTAAAAGAAGTGAATATTATAAATAATAAATAATGAAATAAATGCAATTCATAAGCCTTATATTTTCTTTTTATTCTCTTTTTGTTAATACGGTCTATTTTTTATGTTGGTTGTCAGTGCGTTCTATAGGGGTATATATCTCCAATATCTAAAAAAATCATATTGAATCTAACGATAATCACTTTTAATGAATTATCTACAAATTCATTAATATTAAGCAAAGCAATGATTCTTTGAAGGAATAATTCTCTTCCTTTATAAATGATCCCTGTTATTCTTACTTCTTGATATGAATTTTCTTGATCTCTAAATGCCTTAAACCCAATACATTAATTTTAAAGTGAAATACTTCTTAATTTTTAGATTTTATAAATAATATCATAATTCTATTTATTTTTGACCTTGAAAATAAAAAATTCATTTAAGTTAGAATGATTAATTAATTTTATCATCAATAATTTCTCAAAACTAATGTTTTGCAAATGAGTGAATGGTTATTTAAGCTATAAGTTCAATTAAGAGATTATTTAGGTTTTAGTAGATTCAATTATGAATAACTTTTGAAAAATTGTATCGATATTAATAAAAGCTACAATATAAACACTTATTCAATAGCCATTGAAATAAAATCTGAAAAATTAGTTTTGGAATAAACATTCAAATAGGGCGTAATATATGATAAAAGAAATAAAGGACAGTAGTTAATTTGAAAATATGATATGATTTAAATAAGTTTTGCATAAATTAGATTTTTCTTTCTCAGAATTTTTAATTATCTTTTTAAATCAGTATGATAGATATATATCAATTTACATAAATCAATAACTATTTTTCTACAAAAGCTAATTGGAAAATAATGATTGGATTTAGTGACAACTTTTTTTTTTAAATCAAAGTTAAGATTTAGTTCATACAACAGCTTTTTTAGATTTAATTAATGATCATAAATCTATACTTTGATTTTTTAAACTCTACATTCATGGTTGAACTTAAGAAAAATTAATTGACTAAACTATGTACAATTGAAAATTGCGGATATCAATTTTTATAAACAATGATATTATTTTTGATTCAAATATTATATTTAAATATTTATTTTCACATAAATTCTTCATCATTAAGAGGTATAATTGAATTTAATAAGATGAAAAGTAAAAAGTACAATTCTTTAGTTTATGCAAATTACTTTCTTCTTCTTTTTAATTTTTTAGTTAAATACTTTTCTATATGTTAGAAATCAAAAGTAAAACACTACCAAAATTAATTGCGCATTTCCAACTTTGATTCGATAATTACAATTTATGTAGTTTCGCATAAATTCTCAGGAAAGTTTTGAATAGAATTTCATATGAAAATTAGTTAGAACTGTTCTTAATACAAATGTTTGGTTCATGCGTTTAGGACCAAGAGATGCCTTTTACAGCCATGAGTATGTATTTACATCTCCCATCAGAAATGAAATTATACGATTAATTATTACTACTTACTACTTACATGTAATTGATGTGGCGATTATGTAAACTTATAATTATTCGTTTTCAATGGAATTAAAAATTTCAAAGCATGTTTAAATTTAAGATAAATCACAATCAACTGATCATAAAAAGTCCATGATAGGAACCACAGAATTGCTTTTGATACAATTAGAATTAGAAATAAAACCAAAAATTTGAAGCCCCAGAATATTACACTTTTTTTATTAGTTTACATAAATGTTATAATGACGGAATATTAATTTCTTTAGGGGGTCCTGAATATTTCTTATGCATGCTATATCCTAGTGTTGAAATATTAATATAAAGATGCTCAACAAAATCAACAAATCAACATCCATTCTAAGAGGAGGGGGTTGTGGAATGCCAAAAGCTAATTTTGGAAAGTAATCATAAAAGAATGCCATTCAAACAGATGTTTATGATTTCTTTTCATAATTCAATCACTATATTTAGATAATAGAATCTAAGGCTTCTATTGCTGCTAGTTAATAGGAATCATCAGAAATAATGATAGCAATAAGATGGTTTATATTTTAAGAGGAAAACATCTACAAAATCAGTAAAAATGTATAAAGTGTTAAGAAGACATACGATTTAGTTTTAGATGGGATTAAACGATTATTGATAAGTTGCTAGACCTATATCAGATCAGATTCCTTTAAATGTTTGTATATTTTATAGATTACAACATCCCTATCTAAAGTAATATTTAGCTTCCATTTAATGAATGATGAGAGATTTATGAAATGTGAAACCTAAAATTATTTTCTGGAAATTTGTGATGAATTACAATAATAATTGGAGATTGAAAGGAATGATTTAATTTAAAATTAAATCGAACTATTTATTTTCTTAACCAAAACTTCTTTTGAGATTGCTCCAAATAATAGTAAAGAAAAACAAGAAATATTATAAGGATCCCTAAAAGGTATAATAAATTCTCTCATCAAAATGAGCCCAGATACTGAGTTACTTGAATCATTATTTAAGGGAGCCTGCCTTCTTTACAAAATGTAAGATATTTCAAAAAAAAGAAAATAATATGAAGTTTTTTATCAACTCGATATGTTGCAATGGGAAATAATAAGTTATTTTAAAAACAAAAAATAAAAAAATCTATAAGAAATAATTTTACAAATTGAAGCAATATATGAAACTATAGTTCAATTTTCAAATAATTGGAGGGATCATTTTATCTGGATCTAAATGATTGGTAAAATATTAGTCTTTAATCCTCTACTAGCAAAAAAAAAATTAGGTGAGCTGAATAACTCTTTAAATGTTGGGGAAAAGTCAACAAGTTAGATTTGGAAAGATTATATTAATAGAGGATTATTATTATAAATCAATCAAAGTAATGATTTAGCTGTTATCTTACTTAATTAACTCTAAAATAATAAAATAATATCACTAGATAGATTATTGTTAGAAGACAGTTTCAAAGGATGGGAAGACTTTCTCATACTTAAATAAGTTTTAATGAATGAATAAAATGAAAATACACCATATACATTCAGTTCATATTTAAAATGTAAATTAGGCGTACTTAGAGAGGATTCCTAAAACTAAGAAAAAAATTTGACTATTGAGAAAATGTAAAAGCTTTTAAGTTTCATTATCTCAACTAAATTAATTAATTTAATAACATAAAATGATGAGAATTTGGGAGAAGTATTTAAAATCTAGAAGTAACTTTTGGAAGATGAGTAAGTTAATATGAGACTAATACAAAGAACTGTTCATTCTTAAATCAAAAAGGTAATTTGCAACTTAGAAGAATATTTACAAAACGCACAATATATTTTAAAAATTCTTAAGCTTAATTAGAATAATTATTAGTGTCAGGCTGAATAATTCAAATAGGTGAACATAAATGAATTGAATAATTTATAATAACTTAAATATTTGATGAGATTATTAGAATAAATTTTATAATAAGTAATTTAGAAAATTAAAGATAAAAGAAATCCATTCTGCATAAAAAATTGTGAAACTGATGAAATTAATATGCTTTAGTAACAGAAAGAGTTGATTTAGGAGGAATTAAAAAATTTAAATCTGAAAGATATCCAATTTGCCAATGAATTTTAGCAGAAGCTTCATGCCTTACCAATTGCTACTCTTAACTAAAAGAACTTTTTGAAAGAAGCTCAAAGCATTTTAACACTTATTGAGCATTCTTAAAAATAAATTTCAAATCTAGAAATTATATAACTTCAACAGAATAACGTAATTGAATACTTTCGGGGTTTATTACATAGCTTAAATTGTTTTTATGAGCACAAGAATGAAGAACTTTAAAAAGATGTTAATGAATTTATTTTAAGTTTTAAGAAAATTCTAATTTTATAATTTGAAATTGAGTCTGTTTCTTAAACTGAAGAATTTGAAAATATCAAATAAGAATTTTCTAATATGCTATCATTTTAATTTATATTCAACTAAAGATTGAACAATTTAAAGTTTAAATTACAATTAATTGCTTTCAAGGAGTCTTTTTAAAATATATTAGCAGTTCAATCAGAAGAATTTTAATAGTTATAAAAAGTTATCAATTTGGATGAGTTTCTTGTGAATGTAATTAATAATTATCCTAAAAAAATAATTTGCCGCCATGAAAATTTTTCAAGATACTCTATTGCTGAATTAACAAGCATGTAAATTACTGAACAAGACTATTAAAATAGGTTATCAAAATAAAAAGGAATGATAGAATACATAATATTGATCTTAAATTTAGAAGAATAAATGATTAATTTAGAAAGAATAGATTTAGAAATAATTGATAAGGAATTCGGAGAATTATTTTAGGAAGAACCTAGTTCTTCTTCTCTAACAGAAAGAATTATGACAATAATAGAAAATGCTTTAATTGACAAATCTATAAAAACTGTGACTAATGAACAATTTAATCAATCAGAATTGAATATTGAGATCGAAAAATATGAGAATATATGGTAATAATTAAGAATTTTTGAGAACAATAATGATTGTAATAATATAGAAAATTTCAAATAATTAATCAGTCATATTGAGATTGTTGTTGAGCTATTAAAAAATTCCTAAGATCAAAATTTAGAAATTTTTAAAATACCAATTAGTGAATTGTTAAAGGAGTTAAAAAATTAAATAATAGAATTTTATGAAAAAAATTAATCAAAACTAAGTAATGACCATCAATCTTAATAAAATAAAAATGATTAAATTCTTGTTACTAAAAAATAAGTCATTCAAGAATATAAATTTGATTATTGTGATCAAAAAAATGCCCAGATTTAACGCAATGAAAATCATGCAATATATTTAGAAACCATTATCACTATTCTGAAATTATCATCATCAAAAATAAAAAAAGAAAAGCAGTTATTTTACTAATTACTTGAAGAAACTAAACAATTCTCAGATAAACTTCATCTCATTCAAAAATATAATGAAAATATATAA